CATGGAACCTTGAAGCTTCCAGTGTCTGCATGTGTGTCTGTGTGTGTGTGTGTGTGTGTGTCAGCATGGACGGGACAGACAGCGCGATCAGCAATCCGCCCAGTGATGTTTAAAAGATCCCAAAGCGCAAGTCCATCTTTTCAGACGAACTGCAAAAGTTTCAACTGCAAAAAAATTTCCCTCAATCTGGTGTAACACTGACAGGTGATATGAATAACACTGATTATCTCTTCATCATGGCGCCTGTTAGTGAGTGGGATATATTAGGGAGCAAGTCAACATTATGTTGTTGGAGTTGATGTGTTGGAAGCCTGTAAAATGTGCAAGTGGAAGGATTTGTGCAGGTCTGAGAAGGACCAGATTGTGATGGTTAGACAAGTGGGTCAGATCATCTCCAACAAAGGAAAGAACAGTAAGGGAACTAGGATCAGGGCGTTCCGATCCAAAAAGTTCATGCTCGTTCTGATAAAAAGGTGTCAGAATACAGAGTCTATTGCAGTTTGTTGCACATGGGGCTGCATAGCTGCAGACCAGACATAGGTGCCCATGCTAATCCCTGTCCACTGCAGAAAGTGCCAACAGTGGACACGTGAGCATCGGAACTGCACAACGGAGCAATGGAAAAAGGTCGGGAAATGGTGGCCTGGTGTGATGAGTCTTGTTTTCTTTTACACATGGATGGCCGGGTGCATGTCAGTCGCTTACCTGAGAAACATTGGAAGAAGGCAAGCCAGCGGAGGCAGTCTGATGCTATGCACAATGTTCTGTTTGGAAACCTTAAGTCCTGCCATCCATGTGTACTGCCTACCTAAACATTATTGCAGACATTGGACGCCTCTTCATGGCCACAAAGCAAAAAAGGTTCAGGAATGGTTTGAGGCTTCCAAATTTAAACTGCATATAATGTTCAGCCATAATAAATGTCGTCACATTATGTTATTTCATATACAAGAAATAGCCACAAATATCATGCTTTTTGCTGCCTTACCATTAATTTATCCTACTGCTATGGATTGAAAGGATTTTAATGATGCCAGTAGCAATCTTTCTCGATTTGCTTAATAATTCCAATTCAATTTTCTTTCTATGGGAGATTAAAACGTTCACAGATTTTCAGCAACACAACAGTTTTATTATCTCTGAGTCAGAGCGCGGTGTAGAAAACGGAGTAGAGAAGCAAGTTGGATGCGTTTCAGGTTTGCAAAAGGTTAGCGTCTATGAATTTGTTGTAATGGTTTTGCAGCTGTTAAAAAAAATCAGAGCCAGAAAATAATATAAGGATTTGATAAGCCCGGCGGCATGTAATACTTGTGTAGCTGTGTTCAGTTTTGTTGTACAGAGTTGAACTGACAGGATGTGACTCCAGGCAACTGAAATGAAACAGATCATTACACCGACAAAAATGATTTCTGTGAGTCTGAACATTTGTTGGAAATATTTGGCATGATGCAAATGCACAAGCTAATGAAATATGTAGAACTGGACAAGATGTTTTTAGAAGTTTTAATGCAGAAATGACAGTCCTAATCAAGAATCACAAAGGACTGACTGCTATAACAAGTATGCGATGCAAGGTTATTGCAGTTAATTTAAACTAACTACAAACTAAAACTAGATGTGAAAAGAAAATATTTAGTTTTGTCTGATGAAGGACATGTTTATTGAGGCTCTGGGTATCTACATGGCTGTGATTTAACTGTTTTTAAAATGTTGTGTTTTTTTAATCGTATAATAATAATAATAAAAAACACGTAAACTAATAAAAAATAAACTAAAACAAGAAAATCCACTCTGGGAACCACCTGAAAAAAAAACCCGAATCAAAAACAAAAAGTCAAAAGCCAAAATAAAATAAAAATAAAAAACTATATTAGCTCTAATGTGATGCTCACAATTTGCAATGCAGCAGCAAAGTGACCAATAAAAGCAAATTAAAACTACATTAAGCTAAGTTCTGATGAGAAAACTAGACAGAAACAGAAACCTCAGAGGCACATGATATACATAAAGAAATACTGATATTACAGTGTTAAAAAACAAATGCCTAGATTATGATTTAAGTAAATAAAACAGTTAAAAGTGTAAAACATAAACCACCACCATTTGAACACATTTCTAAGTACACACTTCCCCCCCCCTCTAAACTGGCACTTGCTTGTCCAAACTTTGAGAACCCCTGATTCGCAGGAGGATCACTGCATTTTGTTTTATTTTCATTAACATCCCAACTACTTTGGAGTCAGAATTGTACGTCCTTTGGCATTTTGCAAGTCGGCATGAGTCTCAGTGATGGTACCTGAACAAAACACATTACTCTGCACAGTTGTAGCCTATATAGACCTGGTGTAAGAGGAACTGCTTACTGAGCATCTCTGCAAATGACTTCTTTTACAACATCTCATCCTACTGCCCAGAATGAGCGAGCAATATTTCATATAGAAAGTTTAAACTTGCATGCCTGTGTTTTTCTTGCTTCTCTTCAGTTTTCTCTGTGACCTATATTTCTGCCACTGACACAAACCTAAAGGAGAAAACGGTGTCATAATCAAATAAGAAATATGTAAAAATGCAAAGGACCAACTGCAGAGACAAAGACTCAAACTTTTGCACTTTATGACTGCCATCTGATGCAGCTAAAGAACAGCCATCTCAGCTAGTACGCGTGCGAAGGGAGTCTGAGGAGGTTGTTCGGTGGTTTATGGCAACTGTCAGATGCACTTCCATGCTCCCTCTCTTTCTTAAGCCCTGCTTCCATTAATCATCCTCATTTTCTGTGGACGTTAAAGACGTATCCTGCACCTGCAAAATGCTAAAGCACAAAAGGGGAAAGTGGGTGTGTGTGGTATGCGTGAAAGCTGGGGGCAGGAATTAGTCAAAGAGACAGGGGAGAAAATGGTTGTGCCCTTTAGTTTGACATTTTTGACCACAGCAACACACGTGCGCGAACACATTTTTGCTTTGGGGCCAAATTCTGACGGCGCAACACTAATGAGGGTAAATGTGTCTACTTTTTTCCTTTTTTTGCAGTCCTGTGCCTCCAGGTGTGAAGATGCTGTGTAATCAGAATTTGAAATGTCTTAGTTTTATGTTTTATCAACTATTATGATAAGATTTTAATCCTATAATTGAATTACTAAAATCCGTGAGCTAACATGAGGCTGCCCCCGCCCCAAGGATTTATTTCTAACAAGTAAAAGGTTAGATCCATTGTAAAATTGTCAATAAACAACCCACAAACAGCACATCTGCTCACCTAAACTTATAATGAGCAACGGTAGGCTACAAATAGTTCAAACAGGGTCCCCAAACTTTTAAAATTCTTCTCACTTTGAGTTTAAGGTATTCTAATAGCACTAAATCAAACAGCACTCACTGCCAGCATTTATTTTCTCAAGACTGGATCGTTGCCTCTCTGGCATTAATGAGAAGCAACTTTCCAGTTTCCAGCTGGTTCCGAATTCAGCAGCTCTGCTTCTTACTGGTTTCTGCAGACAGACTTCTTACCTACGCTGGCTTAGCTCCACTGGCTTCCTGTGCATTTCTACAACTGATTTTCAGATTTTAATGATCGCTTTCAAAGCTCGTCTGGATCTGGCCACATGGTACATAGAAGAACCATTTTTCTAATAAGAGCATGCTCACAGCCTTAGATCATGAAGAGACCTTTGGATCTTCATTTCTAGCATGGTGGTTTACACTTTTGCCTGATAAGCAAAAGATCACCAAAGTTTGACCACTAAAGGACATACAAATCCAGTTGGGGGTAATGTCAGGAATGGCATCAGGTGTTTATTTAAAAAAATATTTTTTTAAAGGGATTATTTTACCTGTGATGTCTTCTGTCGTCTGGTTATTATCCTTTAGTTGTCTTGCTAGCTGCCTGCTCCAGCCCTCCATATATCTGACTTATTTTTTAATTCCTTTTGTCATATGTGTGTGTTGGGTGAGTAATATTAAATCTTTCACTAATCCACTGCAGTGTGATGTTGTTGCCTGTGATATAGGTAAGAATACAGAACAATGTGAGGCAGGTTGTTAAATGAAATCAACAGTTTTTACCATGTCTAGTGCTTAAAGATCAGTAGCTCAATAGTGAAGTCATGATCATGCACATTGGTGCATCGGTTAGCACTTTGGATTGAGATAAAAAAAAATCTTGATAAATGTTTGATTTGATTGGTTAATAGTAAGTTAGTCTTGTTCTACTGACCACCTCCTTCATAAGTGAAATACATTTCTTTCCCAGTACTGCGTATAGTTGGCTAACAGGCCAATATTTTTCAGTCATTTGAGTACAGAATGAGTCATAACACACGTTTAATTATTCAGGGTAAAAGTTGTAAACTTGTAACATGAATTAAATCCCACAAACTTCATTACTTTTCAATTTAAAAGTTGGGCTTTTTTTAAAAATAACTTCAAACGAGCCAAATTGATTTCTGTGCTTTAGCAGTTGTGTTGCAGAGGATTCGGTCGGGTTCTGTGGGAATTTTCTGTCAATGCATTTTTTTGTTACGTTGCCAAAGCTCTGTGCACGGTGACAAAGGCACCGAGTGCTGAAGACAATGACGGCGAGGGAGACCGTGCCTTTCTGTCTGGATAGGAATGTGTCCCCTTGCCCAGGTCACAATGCTCAGTTCAGTCTGGGCCCCCGACAAAAAAACGCACGCCACTCCATAAAAACATACCAGGTGACGCTTTGTTCGAGTCGTTCATTATATCGCTGTCACACGTCGGTCCCTTTGACTTATTCAAGATGGTCAGAGCCAGACCCGAGGACCCTGTGTTGCGAAAGCAATGAATCACACCCACTTGTAGTCATCTGCAGAGTGGGTAAGCTCATGGTAATTACATTTAATCACAGTGATTACCACTAAATGTGCTCCATAATGACTCTCCTTGTGATGATAAAAAAAAAGTAAACTCTTTGGAAAGTAACTAAATTACATATAATCCATCTGGAAGTGCCGTTCATGTCTGTGTATATTTTCTCCCTGCAGGTTCAGCTTACTATGACAATGTGCGGCCGTTAGCTTATCCTGACTCAGATGCTGTGCTCATCTGTTTTGACATCAGTCGACCGGAGACGCTGGACAGCGTACTGAAAAAGGTCAGTGTCACGTTGTTAGATGTGTGAATGTGTCCTCTTTTTTTAATTTTAAGTGCATTTTGTCTCTAATTAGGGCAGTGTAGGTAAAGCAGCCATCTCATTACAATACTCACATTAAATATGCAGGTTGAAGAAGTCATCTCTTCTCTTTATACTGGAAATCGATTCCTCTATAGAGTGACTAGATCTACGTCATCAGAGATATACAGCTTCCAGCTTTCACCATCACGTCTGTGTTCAAGTTAAGGCCACCATGTGTTCGTTCACTGATAACCTGATCTGTCAATCTACGATAGGGGAATAAAAAGGAAACGATGAGAAAACATTGCCAGCTGTAGAGGTGGAGACTGGGATAACATTTAAGGTTGGGTAATGCTTTGTGAGAGGCATACGCGGACAAGCCAACACATGAGATACAGAGATTAATGAGGATATTGGGAATGAAGTGAGATTCTGGAAGAAAAAAAGATAGATAGCACGAACAAATGGTACAGAAGGGAAAAGGGGGAAGCGATAAAGACTCAAGTAGTGTTCATGTAGCAGAGCATTACTTTGAGAGAATAGTCGTTGTAAAAGGAAAATTAGAGGTTGCAAAAATTGCTTAGGCGGAAGGTTCTCAGAGATGTCAGAACAAAAAGTGCTGTGCACTTATTTGAGACTGAAAGCTTGCAAATGGAAAATACATTTAAAGCAAAGCAAACTGCAGAGAAACAAGACATGGCGGCAGATTGCCATAAAAAATTGAATTAGGTGCATGAGATCGTAGCAAAGGATAAGCTTTGTTTCTAAACTTTGGATAGAGTGACCGCTCGACATGTCACTTTGGCATCCCATGCATGCATTGTAAGACCGGCACATTCACCGCGATTACTAAGGTCATTTGATAAGGTCAAAGTTGAATTTGGTTCTCAAGTGGACCCCCTGTAGACGTGAGAATTCGCTCGGCATTGGCAGATATGCGTTTTCGTCTGGTATTGATGAAGTCATTATAAATAATGGCACGGACGAGAGGAATGTGTCTTCCAAACAGAATCAATTAAACCCTTTTTCTCATGTTTTAAGAGGATTCCGGCTTTCAGGGGATTCATTTTTCCTGCTTTATTGATGGTGAAGAAATTGTTTTTTTTAAATACTTCTTCTATCTGAGGCACACAGTTCCATCTGTGAGCACAGAAGCTCCAACAAAAAAAAAAGTTGGCTTAAGAGAACGTTGCTAAAACAGCTTGTGTTAGAAAACGCATGAACTCAGATGCACCTAGGTCCACTATAAGACATGATGAAGAGATAATTAATTTGAACCGTGGATCAAACAGGCAAAAATGAGCACAATGGGTTCACCTCTACCTGACTGCTGTGGTATGTGCACGTTCTTGGTTTGCACACAGTGAGAAAGTGAGGAAAGTAAAAACAACAACCTCCGTTTTTCTTTTTTGATAAACCAGCGCCTCGGCTCCAACAGCTCGCATTCTGCCTCTTTGTGCTGCTTACCAATTCTTAACATTAACACAGACAATAAGCCGCTCTTCCCATGGGCCCTTTGTGACTCATCTAAATTGCTGCTGTTCACCAGTTGCATGCGGCTTGGCACAGGGTCCTATTGAAAGGCAACAGCTCACTCTGCACAACGGCGCGCTAGAGCCCGTAACAGCAGCGACGCAGGCATCCAGGAGAAAAGATCTCTTTGTAAGGGAGAACAAATGGAGCAACAGTGCTCAAAGCGGTCGCCTCTGCCATGGTGTGAGGAGATAATGAAAGGAGTCTCGGAGAGAAAGAGAGCGATAGAGAGAGTTTAATAGCTTGAGTCATATTTTGACCTGCAATGAGAATTGTCTGTCTCGGTCTTTATACAGCATTTATGTCCATGAGTATTTCCCTTTTCCCCCCCCTCTTCTATCCTTTGATTTGTTGATTGCAGTTTTCAAATAAACGATGAAAAATTTAAGACATGGAGTGATATAAATTCCAGTTTCAGAGCAATGAACAACAGTGCCAGTGTTTCATTTTAATGGTACAGTAAGCCAGAAAATGCTGGTGATTGTGTGGGTGTTGCTCCAGCCTTCAACTTCAAGATTTACACATTTTTGATGATGTTATAAAGTCTTAATATTTTACTTCCAGTGAGCCAAACTTTCTTGGAATTTTTTAAGTGATCGTGAGTTGTAGTTCTCTGGACTTGCAAAGTTTTTTTTTTTTTAACTTTGCCTGCTTTTTAATTCATTTTCAGTTCAGGCTGTGTAACAAAACTTTTTCAGAGGATTTTTTTTTTTAAAGCTATAAAAACTCAGAGGATGAACCACAGTGTTATATCTACATACTGCAGAAAAGCAAAGAACCAATTTTAAATTATATCTTTAGGCACTTTACTAGTGGCCTGTCACAAAAACACATAATTTGTTCCTGTTTCCTTCATTGAATAAACAAAACAGTTTGTCAGGCATAAAATAACATATTTGCACCAACAAGTTGTTTCCCAAAGAGCTATTAGCCAAAAACGTGGCATGTTGCAGTATGACATGAGAGATGCTTCTACATCTACTGGTCACTGAAGCCTCATCAGAAATGGTCTCAGAGGAAGGTGGCTGTCAAGAAGCTATTATTAAGCAAGGGAAACTTAGAAAGTTAGAGGTATGCCACATTACACTTGACTGAAAGTCAGTGGCATCAGGCCTTATGCCATGATGAATCCAACTTTGAAATATTTGGTTGTCAATATGTACAGAGGAGGTAAATATCAAGTGTCTATGGCCCCTGTGTTGGCTTTGAAGAGCTTTGAATGTCCTTCAAGAAGAACAGAGAATACATATAATCCTCAAAATATTATTTGGTCATACCAAAAATCCTAGAATTCCAAATAAATGGTACGAGCTGGTGCTTTTCCATGAAGAGCTCTAAAAGTCAGAACCAGAATCTTAAAACTGACAAATATTTGTACTTTCCATCAAATATCTGTCAGTGCGCCCCAGGGTGGCTGTGGCTACAATGTAGCTTACCATCAACAGTGTGTGAATGTGTGTGTGAATGTGTGGATGACTGGATATGTAAAGCGCTTTGGGGTCCTTAGGGACTAGTAAAGCGCTATATAAATACAGGCCATTTACCTTTTTTTTACCAAATATGAAGAAAGGTATCAGGTAAATAACCCGGAATAGAATAAGTTGTTTGCTATGTTATTCGTTTTGTGTTGTAAAATCATTGCAGTGATTGGCTGTACATGAGTATAACAGGTATCATATTTGCTCTTTTTGATTTCTTTTATTTGGTACATAAGAACACAGAGGAATGATATCGGTAACATCTTTATTTAATTTCTTTTATTTTTTATTTAACATTTCTTTAACCAGGAAGATCCCACTGAGATTAAAAACCTCTTTTTCAAGGGAGACCTGGCCAAGATAGGCAGCAGCAAGTATCTCATAGTTACAAAAATCACGCAATTAAACACAGGCAAGAAGAACACACATATAAAAAAAAAACATTAAAATTCAATTAAAATGATGAGCAAACTAATTGAGATAGTTTGTGAATATTATTAAGTTATTTTTTAGAAATTCATTTTATTATTATTATTTTAGATTTTAGTGTTTCTTTTACAGTTTTTATATGACCAGCCTGTCAGTTCCACATTTTGAATGCCATCAATCTGCAGTCTGTTAATCTGCAAAGAGACTACACAGATAAACTAACTGAATATCACTGCAGCACGGTGAGAAGTTAAACTGCTGGACAGCAGATTTGCAGATGGGATTAAGGCCCTCTCAAGGCAGGAGATAAGAATTTATGACCTGATGGAAAGGAACTGCTCCCAAGTCAAATAAATCTCAATTCAGCACCTCATTTATGAGCATTTTAATAATTGTAGACTGTTCCCACATGTCTGCATACACCGGCATTTTTTAAGCTGTGAACTAGGCGCCTTCATTCCAATTATGGAGCTCTTAAAGCTACAATTTAAAAATGGTAATTTAGAGAAAAATGTGCTTTGGAAATAGTTTGAGGAAGATTTTTTTTCCTCCTTTTCTCCAGTTCAGAGAGAAAGGACTTGACAAGCCTGCAAACAAATCTTACCTAAAATCCACCCAGCCTTATTTCCAAACCGTATTTACCGACATCAACAGTGCGTTCGCTTCAACCAGGTCCTAAAATCTTATGAAAGGCTTCCCAGAAGAGCATATTAGTAAGAAGTTAATGTCCAAGGTTTTCAAATGAGATGTAACTATGAACATAGTGCTCAAGTACTCAGAATACTCTCGTACTGTAGCATAATAGAGGTCATGTACACTGATATATGTTTGTCTCTCTGATGCACAGTGGCAAGGTGAAACACAGGAGTTCTGCCCCAATGCCAAAGTGGTGCTTGTCGGCTGCAAGTTGGACATGAGGACGGACCTCAACGTCATGAGAGAGCTTTCCAAACACAGACTCATTCCTGTCACACATGAGCAGGTGAGGAGTTCACAGAAAGCACCGCTCGCCTCTAAAATTTGAATGGAAATTAGCTGCTTGCCTTTTTCTGTACCCCGACAGTGCTGCAGAAATGCTGCCCGTGAGCAGTTGGTTTTTAAGAAAATTATAACTTTAAGAATATGCATGACGTATAGTTTCAAATGCACAGTTCATTGCGGTTTTCAGCTGCAGTGACATTTATTCGCCTGTAGTAGAAATTATATGGTATCAGCACAGACAAACGGCACCTATTACTTTCCTCCCTTGTGCACACAGGCAAATATTTTTGAAAGTGCATTTGAAGAATGAGACTTGCGTCAGATCATAACTTCCACAAATGTGAAAGCACAACGACAATAAAGGAGCTGGAACTGAAGGAAGAAGAAGACAAACAGCAGGATGTGCGATAATACGATTGTTTTGTTTGTGTCTTGGAGCAATGAGCAGCGGCACGCATGAATTTTAATAGCTTATTTTCATGTAAATGTGAATTTGCTCTCCTTGGCAGCCTTTTGTCAACAAATTAATATTTTCCCACATCTCTGACAAAGCAAAGGTAACGACCTGTATTGTCCTGTCAATAATGACATCAAAATTGGTTCATCACAACCTCAGATTCGTTTCTTGTTATATATATTTTGCTTTGGCTCAAAATTCATAGAAGCTTCTTATTGGACCGAAACATCAACATATTTTTTTAAGACGTTACTGCAGCTATGCAGGTCATTTAACATGTCTTTTAATACATATATATTGAATTATTTACATCCATACGTAATCATTTTTTAGTGTTAATAGCATAGCAACCAGATAACAGTGAAAAAACAAAGGCTGAGTAATGTGCTTGTACGCCAACTGAGGATTGGTTTTCAAAGGCCTCCAAGTGATGCCTGCTGCACAAAACACTGGACTCAAGTGGTGGGCACTCAAGAGGGCAATCCAATGTAGCCCAGCCATCTGTTGCTTGCCTTTAGACACTCACTATAGGACGTTCTGATGTTTTGGGTTTTGAGGGGTTTTGTTTGGACAACAGCCCCTCAACCAGATGCCATTTGCCTCAGGAGAACCTGTTAGAGGCACGTTGCCCCAGACAATATTGCTCATGGGCTGAGTTGGGCATGCAAGCCCCATCCACTGCTACAAATTAGTGATTTTTGTGATTGAAGCTATTCATTTACCATTTATTTTATGTTCCTGCCCTTATTGCTATGGCCCTGAGCCGTTTCTAGTGGCTGAAGGAATAAAACGCAAGGGGCAGAAAGAGCTTCATCTGCAGGGTGTCCAGGTTCACTGTCAGGATTGGTGCTCTCATTTAAGCTTTCTTCCACAATCCCACACAGATGAAGTGTTTCATGCATGTCCCTGGGTCTCTGGGTCTGACTTGGGAGGGGACTCTAGTGCAGACCTAGAGGATGATGGTACAGTGAGCCGAGATTAGTCTGAAGCCAGGGCCCAGACCTGGATAAGCAGTAGAAAAAGGATGAAGGGATGGATCAAGTATTGTTAATCCATATTTATTGGTTGTAATAAACATTACATTTGATATGGCCCTATAATTAAAGGCCTTATGATGGTCCTTAATGTTGCTGATTTTATATCTGTGCTGAAGACTTCTAGAGTGAAACAACGGATAAAAAATGTGGTAGGGGACAGGTTTTTGATTGCCTAAGTAATTCTTGAAAGTGCAGGTTTCTTAGTGGACCCTATTTAAAGAGCTGCACTGTAAACAGACTGAAACAAGCCGGGAACTTTACGTTTCACCCACTTGACCAACTGATGCGAACCCCAGGGGAGAGCGCAGTCAGCAGAACAAACCGCAAACCAACTGTGTCACTGTTGCTGTAATTGGCTTAAGGGCGTCAAAATAAACACTTGAAGTGCTGGAGCGTTTCCAGTATTACAAAAATAATACAGCTCGAGCCTTTAATATTTTTCACACGAGCAGAAGTAATGTCGCCCCATATGGCAGCTAGATGCTGCTTCAATATGGTGCATCAGTAGCACCGAAGGCTGAACACCTACGCTTTCATTTGTTGTACATTTTCCAAGGAAATTGCATGATCAAAAAATAAAGAAATAATGTGACTCAAACTCAGGATGACAGAATGAAAATGTTTTGTTTTGTTTTGCTACCTAAATCACTAGAAAGCACTGCTGGAAAACAGGTGAGCAAAATAGTACTACATATGAAGCCGAAGCTGTCCAGATGTGAAATGGGGCTAAACCTTCGAGGGAATAAAGTTTTTGCAACTGCAAAGAAAGGCTTTGAATATTTCATAGTGTGGGGGATATTCTCCGTATGCCCTGGCTAGCAATCAGCTATCAGACCTCAGAGGTTGCAGGCTTTTATTAAGAGGGAGGTGTTAGTGCACACGACCAAGTGCAGTGTTCTGCCATCCACAGAAGCAGGGAAGGGATCGTCTAGCAGCATGTGACAATTGCTTACAATAACAAATATTTAGAGAACACTTTTAAAAATGTCCACTGTGTTTGCACTCAGAGTAATGAGTGGCTTTTAAAAATGTTGTGCTTTATTTTATTTCATTGGGTTACACAAGGCTTTCCACAGAATTCTAGTGGTTCAATGTGGTTTAAGGACATCTAAGAATAAATAAATAAAATAAAGCATAGTTTCCACTACATGACCCATCTCTCATCCACACACAAGGTTTTGTATGTTTTTAGCTCTAAGTACTAGCTCTCAGCAGCTCTTTAGGTGAGTCAGTTGCTTTTGGATGACAAACAAACATAAACTAAGCTGTATTTCAAAGCTACACTACACGGCATTTTTATAGTAACAGAAAGAAGTGACTGGATGTATTGTGAAGGCTGTTTTTTGCCTTGAAGCGTGTGCACCAAACCTTAGAACATGCTTTCAAACTATTCTTCTCTCAAGCCATTGTCCCACGGGAACTCTGTATGATATTTCGAGAATGAAGTTGAGATGCATGTGAACACAGCAGGCCACTGTTAAGGTCAGATCTTTATGCAGTACTCAAAAAACTCAATTCGGTTTAGGTGAGGGATGGTGATTGAGTTGAGATTGCGCGCGGTAGTCACATGATGCACACTCGCTCGTTGTGAATTCTCAGGACTATTTAAAAAATGTTGCTCTCGGGGAGCTTAAAGGGTAAAGCCTGTTTATTGGTGGGTCTGTTTAATATGTCTGGCATATATGTCTGCCTGGTAGCATCTGTGCATGTTCAGGTTTGAAGGGCGTAAATAAAAATGCTTAGTGTTAGAGTCACACTGGGACAAAGAGTGGTTGGAAATGGCAGCACGAACAAAATTACTGCAGCTGTTGCCTTTAAGATGGTTTCTTAAGAAGATGGGAATAACATCAACAAACACTTGCAGTCTTTAGTGCATTAAGGTGACAGAAAAACTCCAACAAGACTGATTCAGTCTGCTATCAGTCTGCAACTTGACACAATTCAATCTGCTTTAAAAAATTCAAACCTGATGCAGTTCATGCAGGATGGTGATTTAACTGTAAAGTGCCATAAGTGCTCAGCGACATTGCTGTTATAAAGGAATATAACCACAATACAACCAGTTGGCAGCCAGTTTAATCGAGCCCCAATTATCAAAGAGACACATATATTATAAATTAGATGGCAGTTATTTGCAAATATTTGCCAATCTGTCGGAGAATGACTGCAGTAAGTCCAAGTGGAACTGCAGTTGTTTGGTGACTGTGGTCTCCCGCAGCTTGAGGCTGTGGGATTCTGAAAAATCAGCACTCGGTCTCAAAGTGTGAGGTGGAAAAAAAAAATCAGTACAATCATCCGGAAACCACCGTGCTATTTTCCCTCTGCTGTGACTGACTGACATTAAGTAAATGCAGAATGAGCGAAAACAGCCAAAATGACAAATCATAAAACGGTACTTGCCAACCTGCTTTGCATATATCCATAGGTTTATTTTATACTATTTCCAAACTGTGTGTCTCACATTGAAATGTTATGATGAAATGCATGCAGATGGGGCCAAAAGACATGCTCTCAGGCAGGAGGCGGTAAACACAAAAAGCAAGCCTTTATAAAATAAACACAAGATAACACTGCAAGGAAACACACAAGGCACAAACAAAGCTAGAACACAGTATGGCACAACAAGGTACTTGGTCAAAATGAGGCTTTAAATAGATACAGAAGGTAACTGGGTTGAGTGGACACACTGGGTAAAAAGACAGCTGAAAGTAATAAAGGAAGTAAAACTAAATACAAGACACAACCTGCAAAAGCCTACCAGAATAAAGCTAACAGAGACGTATTAACAGAGATGCAGACTTAAAAGACTCAAAAGGATTCTAGATTAAAACTAAAACCTCATCTTAGTTTTATTTACTAGAAAAAGTGATATGAAGCAATTGCTGTGTTATTCCTTGTGATGGTGTAATATTGTCAGCCATATGTAGTAAATACTAGTTGCGTGTGTGACTGCACTCAGGTTGGAGCCACTCAGACACGAACCCAGTAAGAATGATTAGCCGGCTACAGCTCGCCTCTGCAGGGTGAAGTGTTATACTATTAACTCATGGTTCTGGTTTTCTGACCCACAGCTTCGTTTAGCTTTTAGCACTCTTATGAACCTTTTTTGGAAAAGCAGCAGGAGGCAGAAAATGTTTTCAGTGAAAAAAAAAACCTCTAAATTTTTTTAAAGGCAGATAGAGAGCTAGGAACTAACTATTGAAGGCGCTGTAACATAAAGCTGCAATAGCCACGGATTTCCCTCTAGAGACGAAAATCAAACGAGAAGGAGGCTGAATATTAGATGGAACCTAAAATGTGGTAACATTACAGCTCATTAAGAAGTAATAACATATCAGTTGTGTGTTTACATCTTGTTTTGCAGTGTTCAAGTGGTCAAAACATCAATTTTAAGTCTTGGCTTTTCATTTTTAATCCTGACTAACTCACATTCTGTGCTTTTAGGGAACCACTTTGGCGAGGCAGATTGGCGCCGTGGCCTATGCAGAGTGCACCTCAAAGTATTCGGAGAACAGCGTCCGCGATGTATTTCACGTCACCACCCTGGCATCTGTGTCCAACATTCATCGGCCTCAGCTCAAACACGCCGGATCACGCCACGGCCTCAAGCGGGTTTCCCAGCAGCCACCTCGGACTGAGATTCACGAGCGTCCGCCTGCCATTAGAAAGGACCGAGCCAAAAGCTGTGTGCTCATGTAGGACCAGAACCTACCTGCTGCCTGATCTGTGTGTGTGTGCTGACGGAGCATGCCACACATGAACTTAACTTATTGGTGAATTGTTGTCAGATTCTTTGCACTGCATAAAGGACGATGTGATAAAAGCGAGAACGGATGCTATCCTGAGGAGGTCTTTGAAGGGTTGTTTGTCCATTTTTAGCAAAACTCTGCTTTTTACTTTTCTTTGTGGCTGTGCGCTCATCAGGGGAGGACATCGTAGCGGCAAAAGCAAATTTCTTTAACGCTTGTACCTGAACAAGTGGACAAAAAAACAGATAAATTAAAAACAAGACACAAAATAGTGCATAGGGAGATGAAAAGGAAAAAAATATATATTTGAAAGATCGTCTTGCAGGAAGCAGCGGTAACCGTGCTGGTGTTGACCTCTATTATTGTTGTTTCCTGTTTTGAAATGCTCCTCTGTCTTCAAGTGTTTAAGCAAATGAAGCACAATACGATGCACGCAAAGCGCTCTGAGAAGTCTGTAAATGTCAGGGAATGAACTCTGCTCTCCCCGCTGCGCATAACAAATTAAAAATGAAAATCTGGACTCGTGGGCTGAGATGACACTAATTTTCTTAAACCACAAGTGCTTTTAATATTGAAAAACGAAATAATCACTCACCACATAATATTGTTGTGCTGTGTAATTACTGTTGTTCAAATAATCAACACTGGAAAGGAACGTCACAGAGGGCGTTGAGATGAATATTATGTTGTACATGTGATAATGAAATAAAAAAAAATCGTCTCTGCTAAGTGTTGGAAGATCTTTAATGTGACATATTTATCTGCTGGATGCTTGTCAAAGCTAAGAAACTGCACCTCAGTTTCAAGACATTTTCTTGCCCAGACAAGAAAATATCTCTCTGAAAAATAAAAAATCATTCTGCCTGCAAAGATGTGGCTTTAATTTTGAAAAAGGTGAAAAATAATAAATGAGACAAAAAGTACACACAATGCTTCGGAGCAGCGCAGACCCACAAAACCTGCAAATCCTACATTTCTGTAATCATGGGTCTGTGATCGTGGCAGCAGCTCTGTGAAGCAGTACTTCAGCACAGCAGTGCTTTCAGTTAAATGTGAACATGCTGACTCACCTGTATGTCGGTGACCTGTCATGTAAATGGACTGGCGCCTTTCGACTCTGTTAAGAATTCAAAGCTCTTTCTACTGCAGGTCTCATTTCCACACAATCACAAATAGATTCATTCTTTTATTTATGCTTACATGCACTCGCACTCTATCGGGGGCAACTCTGGGTTCAAGGATACTTCGGCATGTGGACTTTCCGAATGGTAGATGAACCTCTGCCACCTGAGCCACAGCTGTACAGTAGTGCTGCTCATCTACAGAAAGACCACATATGACAATTTGATGTCAGCAGGAAGTTTCTTGGGTAACCGTTCAAATGGTGTGGGCAACTCGGTCGTGGGTTGTCCCAGCGCTTCGCACACTTTCATCACACACGTGCAACTCAAACGCTCCTTGTGATCCTTTTTCACTGCGGTGTCTCCTAACCAGTCTGCTGCATGCTCTGCTACTTTCTACTACCTCCTCTCCGGGTCCCAGCATGCTACCGAAAGGTACTTGTGAGATATTGCAGTCTGGATCAAACTAGTGGACCAATCATGCAGTTTGCAGAGCTAACAGAAACAGACTACTCTCATTTCCAATTGTTAAGTCATGTTAAAACAATGGCTCTGACCTCCACATTTAGATAAAAGTCACCTTCTCACTCCAAGGTATAAAGAAAAAACATGGTCTCATCAATGTTTGTCCATGTTTGTGACTTGTGAGTGCAGATCAGTGAATAACCACACAGTATAACATGAATTTAAAGTGTAACCCGAATGTTTTCTCAAACAAGTTTCATTTGAAACAGTTACTGGAGTGGTTTTAAAAAGGTCTTGACTAAAAGAGGCATTAATAATGAAAACCTTGGTGTTTGTACACTAAATAAAATATCAGTAGTCTAATTGCTGACTCCTTAATGGCAGCAGCTATTAGAAACCTACATTAGTCTGAAATTCAGTGGCTATTTTGCACACACTTATACAAAAAGTTGAAATATATATGTAACATGAATACACTGTATTTCTTGAATGTAAAGAAAAAAAAATAATGCAGTTGGTTTTGCTGCTTTTATGAGCCTTGTAGTCTGACCTTTAACTGTTACTTTTGTTCCATTTTGTTTCCTGCCACCATGGATAAGGCCCCACAGCAACTCTCTGCCTGTGCGAGTACAGCAAAGTGACATTTTGCGGCATCACTGCCATGTTGCCACGCAGGGAGCGTTAGGTCACTCCACACGCTAGAGGCCAGGCCGGTGCAAACACCCTGTCGGGGGGAGATGATGTCCACACCAACGAACGGAGAGAAGAAAATCTGCTCAGTAAACTCTTGTATAATGATTCTCACTAATACGATGTAATTCTAAATAGAGTACATATGTAAATATAGTTACAATACTGGTATAGGTGTAGTAGTTTCATGCAGTATTGTCCTGTGGCGGCTGGACTCTGCCGGGGCTGCCCTTTATCACTGACTCTTTACATAACTTATATGGACAGATTTTCTAGGGATAGCAAAGGCAGCATTGAGTTCCCAGTTTGGTGGCCTCTGTATTACTTCTTTGCTTTGTGTGGAGGATGAAAGCTTGCTGGCTTCAGCAAATGCTGATCAGCTCGTGCTGGGAGTGCAAAGTGGCTGACATCAGAATTAGCACTTCCAAAAATGAGGCCATGGGTTTCAGCCTGAAAAGGGTGGAGCTCTTTCTCCAGGTTAGTGAGGAGCTCACCATCACATGTTGGAGTTCAAACATCTTGAAGTCCTATTCATGAGTGAGGGGAGGTTGGAGCAGTACCTGCAATGATATTGATGCTTTACCAGCTTTTGTGTGGTGAAGAGAGCTGAATATGCTGCTCCTCCAAATTAAAAAGGGCCCAATTACGGTGATTCTAGTAATCTGATTAGATTTCCTCCTGGACATCTCACAGGTGATGTGTATGAGCATACCAGGAGAAGACCCTGAGGCAATCCCAGGACATGCTGGGAAGATTATGTCTCTTGACTGGCTTGGGAATGCTTCAGTGTCCTTGCAGAAGAGCTAGCGGTGTCTGGTTAGTGCTGCCGCTGTGACCGAGACTCGGATAGAAGGCTTGTTAGAATTATAGCGTAAAAAGCGAGTAGTTTCTTTTATAATAGAAGGACCATGAGTAAACAGGAACTAATTAGATTATAATTTCGACTACACCAGCGAAAGCACCCCTCAAGGATCAGTAAAATCAAGTTAAGAGACCAAACCTGCAGGTTAGAGCCGCCTGCAGCCCCAGGCACTGTGTCAGCCTTTGCTGCTGTTTCTTTGATGCTGCACTCAATGTGAACGACGTCACGTAATAGGCTCTCCAACCTCTCGGCTGAAGCGAGTAAACATATTTAGCAAACAGTCATCTCTCCTGTCCTTGCAGCCTCACCTGGCTCTGTAACATTCCCAGAGGTGGGAAATAACAAAATGCAAATACTTTGTTACTATGCTTAAGCGAATTTTCAACCATCTGTACTTTACTTGGCTATTTATTTTTCAGATTTTTTTTTTACTTCCTAGATTTAAGAATAAATATTTTCTACTCATTATTTTTAAACACCTTGTTCCTTTAAACCCTTTCGGTGTAACACTACTTCCTGGACATACTTTCCAGTTCCTCCTGGGGAATCTCGAGGCATTTACAGGCCAGACAAAATACAAAATCTCTCCAGAGGGTTTTGGGTGTGCCTTGGGGTCTCCTCCCCTTTGATGCTGCCCAGAAAGGCTCCAAAGGGAGGAGCACAGGAAGCATCTGAACCAGATGTCCGAATCACCTCATGCTGCTCCTTTTTTTCCAAAAAAAGAGGAATGGCTCTACTTCAAGATCCCTCCGGATGTCAGAACTCCTCTATCTCCTCTGTCAGTGGTTTTATGTAAGACCATTATCAGCTGAAGATTTTAATTTGTGTAATGCTTTGGCTTACATCCAAGTTGCTGCTAAACACTCTTTGATATTTTACTAAAAAATAGAAATAAAAAAAATAGCTCTTTTTGCACTAGACAAAACAGAAAAAGTCATGAGATCACTAAAGTCAGCATGCTTTATCCTCTGGGAAACTACGCTGCTAACCTGGCTAAAGATTCCTGACTCGGGTGAAAATATCAGCTAAGCAAGCATCTGTTCTGCACACCAACCTGAATGGAAAAGGACAAAAAGCAGCATTTTCTTCTAATCTAAGGCGATGCAAATGGAAGCTGTGTGATAACAGAACAAGAGTGGCCTGTTTATGAGACCTAAATGTGTATCCCACCATTGCATGCACTGTTTTTGATGAAAGAGCACATTCAATAAAACAGAGTCCCAGTGGTTAAAGTCTGTATATGAGAAACTCATGCTTTACAAACCTGTAGCTCATGCATGAAATGTGCAGAATCATCTTCAGAATGACAGAAATTATTCATTTATGTCTTCTTCCCGAAGGAGAAAATTCCCTTTTAGCCTGTTGTTCTAGTGACGGCTGAGCTGGTAGGCACTCGCCCTGTTGCACGCAAGATAAAAAGTAACTTTCTCAATTATGTTTAGGGGTTCTGGCGTCAGCGTGATTGAATTACAGCTCTCAGGTAGGAGGATGATTACAATTAGACAAGTGGTTCTCAGTCCTCCGTATTCAGAGGCCTGCTGTTTCCAATCTAACCGCCTAATCAAAAGGCATTTATCAACTGAAAGTGTTACACTGAGGTAAAAATGAACTCTACCAACAGCCTCTAGGTTTTGAGGCGGCTTGCATTACACAAGTCCCTTGTGGAGTAAATTAGCCACATATAAAATAAGTCACACGCGGTCATGGGAAATGTTTTTATACAGTTATGAAAACTCTGACATGTAAAATCCATTATGGTTTCATGGGAAAGTATTTTCGTACACTTTTGAGGGAGACGGGAAACTGGTCGGGTGAATTGCTTCTCCTGCTTTATTATTATATGCACCATTATCTTGATACAAACACACTCTGCAGGGGGTCCATTTTTCATTTTAATTCTGCTATAAAGTAGCGCTGATCACTGACCACCGAAGCTCAACCCTTTTGCATCTTTAATGTCCTTCCTGCCTGCACAGTGTCAGTAGCCATAAAACGGCACCCTAATGCTCCGAGGGTGGGATGTGGCCGACAGGGCTGCTCTGTTATAAGTTCAGTTTTACTCAAATCTCTGCTTTTGAGACCACAAGGCTGGCAACAAGCATCGGCTACCTAATATAAGGCAACGCAATAACAACACCGGGGTAATGGCTGTCGAGTCAGCGGGATTCATTAAAAATGCAGGAGTCATTTAAACAGTATGTAAAATTGAGCAGATTAAAAATATATGTGCCCCGTGTCCACGAGCTGAAAGGCTCCATCTTTGCATCTCCGGCTCTGAGTAACAATGAAGGCAACGACTTTGTAAAAGCACACAGCTATGCAATGCAATACATGCAGGGAGCAGGTTTACAGTAAAGACTGTGTACAGACTCGTAAAGGCATCATTAATAAATGGTTAATTGGTAGTTAATTAAATTTTAGGTAAGTCAATGAAATTATACACACTTGGTTTGTAAAGAGAATCCAAATAATGTTCACAGAGCCTGTTAAGATATTTACTTTTGTTTTTGCTGCTTGTTTTTCATAACTTTTACAAGCTGTCTGGTTAGATTTAGATACCAAAAATATCCTTTTAACCCAAAGCAACGAGATTTCTGTTTGGACAAGTAATGAGGGAGACCTGCCAGGGACCGTTGCCAAAGGACAGCTTGTGCAGGAAGGAGGATCGTCTCACTGGTAAATAATAAAAGGCTTTATTGCAAAACAACAATAACCTTTCTTAATCATTAATGTATAGCAAGTTGTGCGCCGGTGTCACCAGCAAGGAAATGTTCTTTGCTCTTATCAGCTATGCTATCATGGATATTACTAAACTCACTGACCACTGCATTAGGTATACCTGTTCAGCTGTTCATTATGAAAATATGCAAATATCAAATGAGCCAATCACATGGCTGCCAATTAATACAAAAGTCTTGTAGACATAGATTGTGAAAATTAAACTGGATGAGCAATAAAAGTGGTTGAAAAGTGGTGTTGGTGACAGACTGTCAGACAGTTTGAGTGTTTCAGATCTACTGTGATTTCCCAAACAAACATTTCTAGGATTTACAGAGAATGGTTTGCAAAAGAAAAAGTGTCACTTTTCTGTATGACAATGTCATCTTGTCAGAAGTCAGAGGATGGCCAGACTCCTTTGACTTGCAACAGGCATTCAAATGACTTGTTACAACCAAGATATGCAGAAGAGCACCTCTGAACACGCAACACATTGAACCACATACGTAACAGCAGCAGAAGACGCACTCGATGGCACTCCTGTCAGATAAGAACTGAGGGTACAGTCTGTGAAGGTTCTCAGTCATCCAGGTCATCGTAGTCAAAGGAGCTTGCAAAGAAAAGCGTCTGGACTTCTTTAAGCTGCTTGAAGACGTTTCATCTCTCATCCGAGAAGCTTCTTCAGTTCTAAGGTCAAATGGTGGAGAGTCCCAGATATAAACCTAGTGGGAGTGACCCCACACAAAGGGACAAAAGGACCCCCTGATGATCCTCTAATCGCCTGAGCCAAGGTGTGAAACTGGCCCCCGCCTCTGTTCAAAGATGGTCGCTCACAGTGGACATAGATGGCTTCTTTCACTCCTCTTTCAAACCATCTGTCCTCTCTGTCCAAAATGTGAACATTGGCATCCTCGAAAGAGTGTCCTTTATCCTTAAGATGCAGATGGACTGCTGAGTCTTGTCCTGTGGAGGTGGCTCTTCTGTGTTGTGCCATGCGCTTGTGAAGTGGCTGTTTGGTCTCTCCAATGTAGAGGTCTGGGCATTCCTCGCTGCACTGTACAGCATACACCACATTGTTAAGTCTGTGTTTTGGCGTTTTGTCTTTCGGGTGAACCAATTTTTGTCTGAGTGTTGCTGGGTCTGAAATACACTGGGATGTCATGCTTGGAGAAAACTCTCCTGAGTTTTTCTGATACACCGGCTACATAGGGGATGACAATGTTGTTACGTCTATCCTTCTTATCCTCCCTCGCTGGTGTCTGGTCTTCTTTTCTGTGCCTCTTTGCTGACTTTAAGAACGCCCATTTAGGATAGCCGCAGGTTTTGAGTGCTTCCTTTACATGTGTGTGTTCCTTCTATTTTCCTTCAGGCTTAGAGGGAACATGTTCTGCCCGGTGGTGTAGGGTCCTAATTACTCCAAGTTTGTGTTCCAAAGGGTGATTGGAGTCAAAGAGGAGGTACTGGTCCGTGTGTGTGGGCTTCCGGTAAACTTCGATGTTGAGTTTGCCGTTCTCTTCAATGTGCACGGCGCAGTCCAGGAAAGGCAAACAGTTGTCCTTTGTGTCTTCCCTGGTGAACTTGATGTTCTTATCCACAGCGTTAATGTGCGCAGTGAAGGATTCCACTTCTTGTGTCTTGATTTTGACCCAGGTGTCGTCTACATATCTGTACCAGTGGCTGGGTACTCTTCCCTTGAAATGGGTTCCCCCGTGTCACCTATTGTAGCCAACCTTTACATGGAGGAAGTGGAAAGGAAGGCTCTTGGCTCTTTCGACAACAGAAGAGAAAAACAAGAATTTAATGTAAAGCACATTAAAGCATGGATCCATCCTGTCTTGCATCAATGGTTTGAGGCAGTTGTGGTGATATAATGACATGAGGGATATTTGCTTGGCACACTTTGGGCTCCTTAATTCCAACTGAGCATCATCTGAAAACCCCATCCTACCTGAGTAGTATGCTGACCTCTCTATACCATCATGACCACAGATTGGAAGTAGTCATCAGAAGATTGGAACAAAATCTCTGAGGAATGTTTACAGCACCTTATTGAATCCATGGCATGAAGAATTAAGACAGTGCTGCAGGCAAAAGAGGGTCCAACTTTATTTCCAGTGAGTAGTACTAATCACTGTCATTTTCACAATTAACTATAAAATAATTATTTACTACTGTTTAAATAAATATGCTATAAATATTCCTTAAATTTATAGTAATAAAACATTTCATTGATGGTTACTATGAAGCTTTGTTGACTTCCTGTTTGTGACACAGCTTTAAGGAGACAGTGTTTGTGCTGCAGCCAAGGGAGTCGTACCAAAATACAGTTTAAATGCTCTCGGAGTCAAGAGGTTAATGAGGATCACAGCGGCAAAGTGCAAAAGCAGACAGGACCATCACGGACAAGTGCGCTCGTTATTCACAGCAGCTTGACTGACATGGGAGCGCATGTAATGTGCACATGAACATCCGAATGACTAAAGCAGGTGAATTAAAGTCGATCCTGACAGGGTGCGTTACATTCACATTAGAGATCCCTGTCTGTGTCAGAGGTTCATTTTAGTGCATTAGCTCATTTGAATAAAAGCTTGAGTAAATCTTTTTCATTTGATTTTTCTTTTTAAAATCAGCTAACATGCTGTTGGTGGGTGAGTGTAATATCGGAGAACGTTAATCTAAGTTGTTGTGGTG